TGAAAAAAGGCAGAAAGTAGAGGTGTCTTCTAAGTTTCTAATTTTCTATATTTCTTTTTTCATAGTAGTATAAAACTTCAAAATAGCCAATCCAGACTTTATTTCCTTATGGTAATACAATGAAAACAAGATTTGTATGGTGTCTTTATCCAGAAACAAAGTCTTTTTTTATTTCAATAAAATTTAAAAGTAAAATAAATATAGAATGCATACGAATTATCTTCACAAGTAGTTGAAAATTAGTAGCTCTTATTTGGCAATTTACATAAGGAAACACAACAAAGCATGTTTAAATTTAACATTCAGTTTCATGATAAGACCAGGATCATTTACTCACTTCGAGATATCACTTAAACTTGATATTGTAATAGAAGTCCAACCGTATTATTTTTCTTTTTACAGTAAATTGTTCTTCACGTTTTAGTCAAAAATGAAAACATGAAAACACTTAGAATTGTCCGTGGGATTTACTTTATATAACTTCAAAAATAAAATATGTTGGATATATTCTCAATTAAGAGTTCTTATAGAATGATTTGTTTGCAAACTCTGCAAATTTTACATCTTAAAAATATTTTTGACCCATATTCTTCAGTTAATTAACACACTATTGTATGTGCTTCAATATTTTGACTGTGATATTTTACGTTGATATCTTGATTTCCTGAGGCTTTATTTAGTGAAGTATGACAGTTTTATCTTGAACATTTATTACAATTACAGCTTCCTAAATCCATAAGAATAAGTAACTTTTGAACGTGCATTTATTTAACATCAACATTTTATATGTTTCTCTTATCTCTAAGAATAAGTTAGTAATCTTATAAGTCTTGCATTTCAGATATGTATGCACATTTAAATGCTGCGTGAAACCATTTAGAATAGGATGACTCGGCGTAAAACATTGGCACAGATTGCGTTCATTTCATTTGCCTTATGTAACGGTCTGACTAATGCAAAAGAAAAAAGTGAGAATGATATTTTCGAAAAACAAACACAGACACTAAATGAAACAACTTCAACTTCCAACCAACCCACAGTTTTATCGGAAGCCGTAACAATAATGACAACAACAGAACTAATGGTCACCGCCAATACTTCAAGTTAGTATATTCCTGTAATCTTATCGGAATATACATGTATATCGGCTTGGCCAAGATCAGGTGCCCATTTCCAACTAAATGATGTTATATAGATGTTACTCTTTATAGTTACATATAATATAAATGTCTTTTGTTGCATTGCGAAGAGCAGAATGAGAGCTTTCCATTACTATATAATATCATATATATAGTATCTGCATTTTTGAAAAAAACAACAGAATAAAGTCAAAGATTCATAATTTTTGAAGTTATGCTGTTGCACTTGATTTCTTACATTTTAAATAATGGTTAATATAAATTATTTTGAATGAAGCATTCCAAAATAAATGTACTTTATTATAGAGAAATCATTCTGGTTAAGTTTATTTTTTACAGAAAAGAAAAAGGATAAAAATTGTTGAAATTATGAATAAATGTGTGCAGATATACCTTTGTTATATAATTTAAGATTTATCAATGTCTGAATAAATGCATAAATTTCTATCAAAAAAAAGCAAATATAATTTGTTTAAAAATTTTTATTTAACTTAAGAAAAAAAGTACTATGAGAAAAATATAGTGGTTATATTGTAAAATGTGTGCGCATTTTGTATTTTATTTTCCATACTGGTCTAATATTTTGTATAGTCCGTAGCCCCATATTTCATTATAGTTTGTTTTCAACAAAAGGATGTAGAATTAATCATGCTCTTGTTTAATATTTTTACAGTTTTCAGTAAAGTAAAAAACAGTAATGAATAGCTTTTGCGCTAACACCGAAAGAAGTTATAGAAGAATGATTGGTGTCCGTAGCCCTGTATAGTCCGTAGCCCCAATACAATAACTTCCAGAAAAAGTCATATACATTATTGATACAATAACTACAATACAAAAATATGTTTATTCGAACAAATGCAATGTTTTTAAATACAAATACCACTGTAATTAAAAATAAAATATCTGAAAATTAACATTTTTCGACTAAAAGCTTGCTTCTGTAGTCTGCTCTGTTATGTTTGTGGTCACAACATATTTCTAAATATACATGATAAAGTTTTCCTTCTTGTGATACATAATTATATCAATCCATTTACAATGATTAGCATTGGAATATTTTTAAAAGAATATTTAGCCACACAAATCCTACTTACAAAAGGGCTACGGACTCTACAAATAAATTTAGCAAATTCACAGACCATATAACCGTACTTCTGTATTAGCAAGAGATTTTTTTCCTACTTGTATCTACAGCAAAATGGGGATTTAATGGTTTCTTAGTTCTTATCGACCAGTCTTAACATCCCATCGTAGGATTTGTGGGATTTGATCCCAAAACATAAGGATCAACTCCTTACTTTGCAATTTAGTACAAAGTGAGGCCTTCACTGTTATAATTGCGCCACCCAATCTACTTGTCACTGAATTGTTAATTGAAAAAAAAAAACACTGATTCTTTATGGGTAATATTGTACTATTATGTTTTTTACTTCAAATGGTCAATCATGTTTTGCAATTTATTATTTTTTTTAATTACACCATATGATTATGATAAATTATATACTGATACACCTTTTGAATGACCATCTTGAGTTATATGCATTACATTAAATCGAAAATAAAATATGAAGCCATAATGAATAGTCTATAACCTCTCCCCACACACACAAATCATGCCTTGAACTGATTTAATTTCAACTCCTGTTGCTTTTATTCATTATAGTTTGAACAGCAATTATGCTTTAATTAGTTGAACTGGAATTTCATTTGGCATTGAAAGTACATAGTACATTAGACAATTGATTTTTAAGTATGGTATTATAAATACTCAAACTAAGTGGTGTGAACTGTTATAGAAAACCAATTAATAAAAAGATTGCCCAAAATTTAATTAAACAATTATATTTTCTTTAAGTTAATTGTCCACAATAGAAATGTTAAACGGTATAGTCCGTAGCCCCCGTGCTTACATGAAATTTATCCTTCTTAGATGCTTAATCAAAGCTCATTCTTGGTCTTTAGATGGTTTTAAACAATATTTTATTATCAAACACCAATTACATGTAATTCTGACATGTATTATTTTCTTCTGACTATTTATATTTTACTCTTATTGTGAATTTATATAAAGTTTTTGTTTTGTTAAATTTCACAGGATTTTGTATAAATTGATTTAATATCCAAATGAAAGGATTTATTAAACACATGTGAACTCCAAGATGATAATTTTAACAAATATTTACTGAAAAAAGCAACTATTTTTCTATGGTCTTTCATTAAATGAAAATACTATATGTATAGTCAGTAGCCCAAGGTCTCAAAATAATCAATCAAAAAATATTTGACAGTTTTTCTCTGAGTATTGACAAATAAGTTTGAAATTCTCATCCCCATATACAGTATATTTAGAAAAATTGAAAGTACTTTAATGTATTTTTATTTCAAATGTCCAAATATTGAGAGTAGAAAAACTCTCAAAGATAAACAAATTTACCCATGTCCTTTATATACGGTAACATTTAAATGGAAATGAATTATGTGATTTGTTTTGCTCAGACAATATTTTGTAAAGAGTTTGTATTTGAATTATACTTTTTTTGTTAAGTTGAACATGATAAAGATGAATGTTACGCCTGAATATGTATAGTCCGTAGCCCACTTGGGTCTCTGCTGTAGTAAGAGTGAAATCTTTTTAACCGCTTGACAGAAATGGACAGAAATTTCAGACAATCTGCCAAAAGGATGTAGTGTTACATAGAACATACTTGTAATACATTTCATTTGACTTCATTTTTTTGTTAATCTACAACCAACATGGGCACCTGATCTTGGCTAAGCCGATATATCTCCAATGTAATTATTACACTGTAACACTGTACAAAACACACAGGCACTGATTGATTGTGTAAGTATACTTATTAGAACACGTATATACATGTATACAAATATGAAATTTATCATTGAATGCGAATATCAAGGGGTATTTAATAATAAAACCTTATTTATCATTAATTTATCATTTGACTTGTTTCCAACACGTTATGGAGACAAATAATAATAATAAGGATTGATACTAGTCACGTTCTTTTTCTTGAAGGGTTCTTTGTGTTCAAAAAGGCATTTAACATTCTGATATCTTCAAATTTGAATGCTGAAATAAGTTTTTTTTTATTTTTTTCTGATTACAGGGTGCCCACTAGTCATTGTCACTCCCGGATTTATTTCGGAATATTTCGGATCTTTCGTTTCATTCACCGGTTATGTAGAGTCATATTCTGATCGCGCTCTTCTGTCAAGATGGCTAAAAATAAAATCAGATATTACCGAAGTTGTTGATATCAACAGAATCAAATACCTCGGAAGTAAAAGGTATCCGTCTCCAAAACTGACAATCAATGACTTGAATTTTCAAGACGACGTGGACTATCAACTTCAAGTTCAAATTACGGGAGGATGGTGTCATAGTAATATAGTCAACCTAGAAGTTAGAGGAAGTAAGTGTTCGTTTATAGTCATAAAGTATTATTAATTTGCCTTTCGTCGTTTAAGAATACACACATAATCGATAATCAAGATTTATGAAAAACTTGCTGTTAATAATTTTCACAGTACTGACGTTCTATGACCCATGCAATATGACAAAGGAGTGCAATCGGAATAAGGCATTGTATTGCTCTTCAAAGTACAATTCGTGCATGTGTAGGAGTGCTTTTTACCATAGGAATCGTACTTGTTTTATTCGTAAGTACTTCAAAGGAACTTGCCTCCTTCGAATTTAATTAATACAAATGTTAAAAAGAAACATCTTTTTAAAATAAGACAAAATAAAGATTTAAAGATAGAAATTTAAGATTTTTCATGCAATTATGCAGAAAGCATATGTTTAATTAACTCTCAGCATAAACATAGTACTTGATGAGTATGGGTGCCTTCATAGGAAACAATTTACGAGCAGTCTACAAAAGATCAGAGATTACTACAACATTGATAACCTCCTGGTGGGACCATCCAGCGGTAGATTCCTCCCTCATCCAGTCATATACCACAGTACTGACAGAAAGTGGACTGACTCTCAACCTGAGCGAAACCGTTGGAAATAATACAAATTGCACTTTTGCCTCGAATTTTTTGCCTGGTTATTTGTATTATTTTCGAATCATCTCTGAAGTCTTACTAAGCGATCCGACAGAAACAATTTTTGTAACATACTTGATACCTTTGGTGGTGGGTAAGTTCCATGTATTCTTCAGTTCGAATAATAAGCTAATCTAGTTTTTTTAATCTATAATTCCGAGATTTGTCTTAAGTGAGATTTTTCTCTTAGATCCATTGCCTCCAGGCCCTATTTTAAGGAACGAAAGCAACCTTCACCCAGACCATTTATTTCTGAAATGGTTACCCCCAGTTCATGGGATCCATGTCAACAGATTCAGAATTTCTGTGAATGGAAGAACAGATGACTCATCTCCAAATGAGATTTCCTGGAAAACAAAACTAGAGCCTGGAACAAAGTACAATGTCAGTTTGGTTTCAATAAGCTGGTACCCTCGAAATTTTCAGAAAGCATCTGCTCCATATATTGAACAGATAGAAACACTGCGTGCGTATATTTTTGGTCTAGTTTATTACACATAGGATTTTAACATTACTGTTATTGATAATTAAAAATAGATAACACCATTCTTGTCGATCTGCGTTTGTGAGCTTTAAACATGGTGATGACTTTATAGCTGTATAAACAGGATTTAATTCTTTGTCAGGGTAATGATCAAGTTTTCTAGATTCTTGTCGGCTGTACGAGTTTTGTATTAAAGTCGGGAGTACTGTAATTCACCAAAAATATTCCTAACTACAGAATTCCTTATTTATGTAGCAGTTTGCTTTAATTATGCTGTTTTATTTATCTGCTGTGCATTTTATTTTATATGTCCTTGAAAAGAAATTTATAAATGATTTGTATCTAAGTTTAAAAAAAAGTGTTCCTCACATTTTCTAAATAATGTTTTAAAACAGGATAACATAGTATTTTTATATTTTTTTATATATCATTTTGTTTTCTCAATCACAGGCACTCCGAAAATAGACCTTAAGCCATTACGTCTAAATATACCATATCTCTCAAGTGTTACGCTAAATGCCTCGATTCGAAATCTATCTGGATTTCCACCAACAACAGAAGTAAAATGGCGAAGAAATAGAATAGATATTAATATTACAGACTCCAAATATAAAGGAAGTACCCTTAATTTGTACAGTCCTATTCTGTTTATAAATAGAGTTGATTTTTATAACGAGCACAACTTCTATTTTGATTGCATTGCCCGCAACTCGGAAGGATGGGGAACAAGCGAGGATGCTGTCATAACTCTGTATGGAAGTATGTAATCTCAAAGACTAAAATTTTATAGATTGTTATATTTTATTTATTCATTTAACTAATGTCTGATAAATTTTCTTTAAAAAAGTCTAATTCAGACGAAGCTGATTATAATCCAAATAGCCCTGCATCATTGACAGGATATGTATACTCCTCCCTGACACCTGGTCCCACCACTATTATTTTCAGTTTAACTGATAATGATTATAAAGTTCCCGTCAAATTAAAATCCTCTTCACATAAGACCAGGCCCCAGGGCCATAAAATTTGGACGAGCACATTTTAATCTCAGTCTCACCTTTCCATTATTAATTTCTTGTGTAAAAGTGAGACTGGGATAAAGAGCGGTCTATGTTTTATGGCACCGGAGCCTGAGCTCCAGCTAATTTGGGCTTAGTTGAATAAAGCTTGAGAAACTCATGATACTCAGGTGACTGTCAATTTAATCCCATATGCCTCTTGATTGACCAAGTGCGGGATTCCCTGTTGATAAAGCTTCCTTATTCGGCATTAATTTATTTCATGTAAACATAAATGAAAATAATTCACAACTAGAGATTTTCACCTGCCTTCTTCTTAAAAGGAAGTAAACTTTTTATCATTCCAGGTCTAAAGTTTTTGGAGCCGTGTAACGAGAGTCGAGAATGTGAACCAAACAAAAACTACGTGTGTCGCTCTTACACATGCCTATGTTCTGATTCCTATTATCACGAAAATTCAATTTGCTATCACCGTAAGCTCACTTTGTGTCTTCAAGAAATTTTTCTCAATAAAATTGATATTGTAAAGGTTCTTATTTAATGGTAATGATATTTTAGTGTCTTTCACGTGCTTCTTCGCTACTACACTAATTCAAACACAGGCTAATATATGATTAAAATAAATAAACTAGGTTTAAATTGCATTTATTTTACGAAGAAGAAGATGGCATATTAATTTTATTATGATTATTTATAATTTATGGACATTTACAAATGCCTTCATTGAAATTAATGTTTTAAAAAGTCAGCGCTGAAAACAGCTTAATACATATTTAGTTTTCCTTAGTGTAGTTTCTTCTTTTTAATGCGATCCTTCCTACAATTTGCTTTGTGGATTGTTTTACAGGAAACAGATTGAAAGTTAGCATACAAAAAGTAATGAAAACGACATGTAAAACATCAGTGAGATGGAATAAACCGTTACACGACAGTCATCTCATTTCTGGATATGTCATCGATTTCCAGGCCCATAGATCTAACAGATGGTTGACAGAAGAGATAATATCTATGGGAAATGTAACGGAATATAGTACCCCATGTAAATTACAACCAGGGCGACTTTACAGATTTATCATCCAATCCAAAGTTTCGCTTAGAAATCCTTCCGAAAATATCAGTGTCGATATACATTCCGCCAATATTATTTTAGGTAATGAAAGAAATTCCTTATGACCATTATAATATTATAATAACATGCGATTTAAATTATTCATAGAATTTCTTAATCTTCCGTTTAATATAGATAGAACTTCTTTCTTGGAATATGGTCAGTAGGAACTCTCAGTTGACTCACTGAGAAATTGAACTTGTGTAAAAATAATGACTTCCCAAATGATTTTTTGTTCTGTTTTTAAACAATCAAATCACGCAGAATTTGAACAAAAATATATCAGCAATCAATTCACTTCTACTAAGCTTACTTCAGCACAGCAGGTAAAGTCTTGAATTTTGATCTTACGATTCCTGCACACTCCGAGCTTGGTCTTGCTCAGTGAGGCTGGTTCAGTTCTGCTTACACTGAATGTCTGTTTCCTTGCATAAATTCTTTACGTTTGAAATAATGTAATCTTGTAGGTTACTGAATTTAATGTCGAGTAGTTCAGAGTAAAGAATAAGAATCACGTCTAATGTTCTGGGAAACTACATGTACTAGTAAGTGTATCTGTCAATATGTCTTCATCAGTACTGCTGCCTTCCACGTGCTTACTTCGAATGAGTAAAGTCTGTAAAACATTTCATACATATGTACCTGTGTAACGAATGACTTCAAATTCCAATTGGTAAAACATACATTATTTTGATTATCTATGATATTCTACGTTTTATTGTCCTTTTTTTCAAGAACAGAATAAAGAATCAACGATTCATCTGTTACAAACATATTTGTGACTCTTTCTTCAGACAAATTCAAAAACACAAATGATAACAATACATTATTTGTCTTAATGAATCAGAATTGATTAAAATATTTTTCCAAGAGAAAGTAAACTTAGCTTTAGACTTAGTTTTTTATTAAAAAAAAAAAAAAAAAAAAAAAAAAAAAAAAAAAACAACCTTAGAATAGCATCTGCACATATCTGCACTAAATTGTTCAAATCGTGCACCCTCCCCCCTCCCACGATATGGATTAAACAAAGGGGATTGTTCAAAATTTATGATGTTATGGCCAATGACACAAATATGTATCCAAATCTACCGTAAATATTCAAATTTTAATCCGTATGTTCACTAGACAATGAAAATTTGAAGATGAATGTGCAACAATTTTTGTATAATCAAGCACGCTTTAATACGTTTATGCCAATAAACTAAAGATGTATAATGATTTCTATTGAAATTCAAAATACAAACCTCATTTAGCAATAGCATAAACAAGACTCAACTTTATTGTTTTACGGACTGTAACTTTAATATTCTTAAATAGATTTAATTTTCCCTAAGTGTATTCATGTCTATGATTTAAGGTTACGTTGCATTCATACTGTGGAATCATCATTGTTCGTGGGGGACCAATGTTCGTGGATTTCGTGGGTCACCCGTACCCACGAATTTACATCCCCACGAACGTTTATTTGTAAACATATTAATTCATTAAATCTACCGTATAAACGAGCAACCCACGAAATTAAGTCCCCATGAACAAGTAAAATTTTGCTTTCCCACGAACATTGACCCCCACGAATTAAAATGATTCCACAGTATTTTAAGGAGGTTGATATTAAAATTTACAAATAATGTCAAGGTAATTGATTGATAATCGTAAATCAGAAATAATGCGATTCATTGTATCGTATTAACTAATCTACACGTAGTGATCTTAATTGTAGGAAATTGTCATTGGTTCATTTAGTGATGGCCACCAGAATGAATGTAGAATGGAGGAGACATTCAATTTTGTTATACACTTACAAAAAAATGACATTACTTATGATCATTCAACAATCTTATAAAATACATTCTGTATTGACTTTACAGAACCATTGTCACCTAGAAAACTGGATCGCGTTAAGAGCAATTTCTCCTCACAACAGCTCTACTTAAAATGGGAAGAACCCGCAGGAAACACATTTCTGAATCACTACCTGGTTACCATCAATGGTCACCAACAACAGACCTTGGGTAACTATCCGGAGGTCTACTGGAGGAAAGGTTTAGTGCCAGGAGCAATGTACAACGTGTCAATTACGGCTGTGAGTCATGGTGATATCATGGGTGGCCCTTGGCTTGGAACTGCAAAAAGCAAACCTTATGTAGACTGGATTGAAGTGGATCAAAGTAAGATTTAAAAAACAAACTTGCTTGGTTCTTGCCTTCTGATTGAATCCATGTCTTTCTAATTTGCTTTAAAATACAGTTTTTCGAGAGAAAACAATTTCCAATCAACTAATATTTTAGTAGTATATCAAACGATTTGAATCGTTTAATCATTCCTTAGTTTGTTTTTTTTTTTTTTACCGAAACCGCTGTCTACAATATACTCTGAAAGTTACAAAAGTACTCAGGAATTTTTTTTCTGTAAATCACACATTTCAGACAATTATAATGAATCATAAATGAAATGCAACTTCATATTACGTTAAATTTTGCTCAGTCAAGAAAATGTTCAAATGTTTTCTTACACCAGGGATATCCTCTGGTTGTATTTTCTAAGAACGCATGCATTTTTGTATGTTAGAATTTTTTTTACCTTGATAGAAATGAAGAGTTACTCTGAGTATTCATAATTTTCTTGATTGAATGAAAATAAATGTGTCTGTTTACCTTTATGATTATTATAGTTAAGGGAGGATACATACATATGCCTTATGGAGAAAGAGATAATGTGTTTAGAGGCGATGATAAAACTAGTCCCTATCTGAGATCTCCTATGACGATATATGCCCTGGATGGATCAGAGCGTGGATTTAATTACGTAATTGTAAGAATCTTAAACAATATTAGTAAAAACGGATTTTTTTTTCATCATTTCTTGAAAGATAAAAGAAATGCTTCTAATAAATATTTTTTAACAATTATGTTTGTGTTAGATTGGCTCCAACGGTGTAATAGGACTTGGAGAAGAGTTTAATTGGTTCAGCACACATAATTTACACTCCTCAAAAATGAAAGAAAGACAAATTATTTGTCCTTTTTGGACTGATTTATTAACAACAGATACAGCGAGTGGTATCTACTACAATACTTACCAGAGGTATTTATTATGATCATTAAGTTTTTATAAATCTAAGTCTTTTAATTTGATAACATTGGTGTGTTATTCTATATCCTCAGGGGACAGGATGCTGAAAATACTCTTTTCTTGAACAAAGCGAATGAAATGATAAGGATACAGTTCCCAGATTTTTCTGATTTTGAGGCAACATGGCTGGTCAAAGTAACATGGGAAAACATGACATTGTTTGGATACAAATCACAGGTACAAATATTTCTTCAAATAGCTATTTTATTATTTGAATTCAAGATATAAGATATTAAAATATAGTTATTCTGGAGAAAAACGGTTGCCGGTAATTACTTTAATTACATGTATGTTTAAGGATAAACATTGCATGTGATATAGTTATTTTATATTTTAGATAGTGACATTCCAATGTCTTCTGATAACAGATGGAGTCAACACTTTTACTGTTATAAATTATATAGATGTCAACCTTAAACCAATCAAAAATAAAAAGATTGTTGTTGGATATCGGTTCCAGAAAATCTTTACCAAGAACGTTCTTTCAAACAAACATGCCGCTTTTCAAATGAGTAAAAATCCAGGAAATAGAGGTAATTACTGAAAGGATTTCTACTGAACTCACATTACAAACTGGAAAATTTATGAAATTACAAATCAAAGCCATAATGGAAAATGTTTGAAGTTACAAATAATAGTTTTAATGTTGTAGAAAATACATATAGTAAAGAGACTATAATTTACTGAAGTATGTACAAGTTCTCTTAAAAGGCTCTTTATTTTAGAAGAGTATAGTAAACTATAATAAAATTTCATTTTTTACCATTGTCATTGTATAATTTTTAATCTGATTGGGAAATTTAAACAGAATATATTTTTTTAATTACCCATTTTTAGAAATAATTTCAATTATGAATATTCAGGGGTGCCAGGATTCTGGATTTATAAAATGAGCACAGGAATTCCATTGAAAAAGGATGATAAAGTATGTTATGACTGGTATATAAAAAACAAAGAATTGGAGGTCCGAGATCAATTGTTACCTGCACTAAGTCAAATCCGGTGTCCCTGTGACAGTCGCTTGCTTAGATTTGATCCACGATACAACATCAATAGATTCGACAGGAAATATCGAGTTCTATGCTATGCATCCATGACAGTTGGCAGAAATGCTGTCAGTTTACTTTGTCAATTATCTATTTAAATTGTAGCATTGATTTAAGAATTTTTTCCCAAATCAATCTCCTCTGATCCATATGCTGAAATATTCTAGAACAAAGCTTGTTGTGGGTGCATTACTTACATGGTTGTATGTTTTCAGGAGTGTTGTTACAGACTACATCGAAGAATTGATAATCTGAGCGTTCTTGAGCGAACTGTTCCCGCGGTTGGGTCACTGTTACAATACAACCCTTTTTTTGAGCGTCATCTTTACATAAAAAATGACCTGAAACCAAGAGAGGCATGTAGTAAATCCGGACATTTTAAATGGTATTATGAAGTGCGTCCGATTCCCAGTTGCTATCGAAGGTCACCTTTTCGACCAGGTTTGGCCATTTTCATTTTCACTCTGATTTGCGGCAAAACGATAAAGTATTAAGATAACATATATGTGTTAGATATTCATTAATAATTCCAATGAAATAGCAACATTTTGCTGATCAAAATTAAGGCATGGAAGAAAGAAGCATAAGTAAAAATTAAGAATTTTCAAGCAATTCACATAGAAGTGGTAGGCATCAATAAGTTGTACGACTTCAGAAAAGTTTAACGAATAACTATGTTTACTACAGTCACCTTTAGTACTACAATCATTATGTATCAAGCACTTATAATGCATGTTCTTTGAGGAATAAACTCTGGTGACCCTCACATACGGACACTTGATGGTAAAAGCTACACTTTTAATGGTCATGGAGAATATGTGATGATGGCAATTGCAAAAGATGGTACCAAATTTGACTTCCAGGCGAGAACAGAACCGGCAACAACATCAAATGTAACTGCCATCAATGCTACGATATTTAGTGCATTTGTGGCCCAAGATCAAACTGGATCCAAAGTACAAATAGAAATTTCGCCAGACAAAAACGGTGAATAAGTATCCACTCTTATGAGTTTTTAAAATGATTCGTTGCGATAAGTTTCCTAAAGTTTGCTATTTTGTTTGTATTCTATTTCTTTTCTTATGAGAAAATAGTTTTATCACCTTTTGTATTTTGATGAGGGTATACGGTTAAAATCCTGTTTCTATTTAAGTTAATCTTAACTTACATGTAACTGTAATCAATTTGTGAGAAAATGATAAAATAGTACATGAAAGATAAACTGATATGTCATATGGTAAGCATTATGCGATGAAAAATACTCTTAGAATGTAATTAATGTTGACTGTATATTAAATATTAATTGATCAAGCTAAACATTTTAATGTTACCTGAATCACAAAACTGGAGCCTACAAATTTTAATTCTTTAACTCACATTCATAAATTTATAGGCACACGTCGCTTGATAAAAAACAAATTCATTTTTGGGGGGCTGAAATGACCATCTCATTTTTCCTTATAATTCATCATTCACAAAAGCCTTGAAAAACAGCATCAGACCCAGAAGTGTAATAAACTTTTCAGGCTTATTTGATAAGGCTAGAGTTCCTTGTTTTAAAAACTTAATGTTTTATCTCAAAGTCCATATATAATGCATTAGAGGTATTTCTTATCTTTAAGATCTTATAATCAGAGGAAATGGGAATGACTTGACCACAAGATTTCAAAATACAAATTACACATACCTTACACAAAATTTATCCATTCAGTGGGAAAATAAATCCATATCGGCATCTTTTTTCCAGTCCTGTAAGTAGAATGTTATTGTTGTGAATTTAAAACTGCCTTATTTTAAATTGATATAAACATGTTCTTGTGATTTTGAACTGCATATTTTCAGCAATAGTTTTAAAAGTCAGTCTTGGAGTACGATTTTTGATTTCGGAGGTTGTGGTTGATGATACGTATATGGGATTCGTCAAAGGATTGATGGGGAACTTTGATGGGAATGCTGCCAACGACTTTATTCTCCCAAATGGAACCACGCTAAATGAAAATGCCACACAAACAGAACGGGATGTATTCTACAATTTTGGACAGCAATGTAAGTTAAAAGACTTTTTTTACAAAAAAAAAAAAAAAAAAAAAAAAAAAAAACATGAATACTAAGGCTTCAAGGGGGATTACTTTTAATTATGTTTTTTTTTTTCATTCCAAGGGTCTGTAAAAGACAAATCTATTTTCAATTACAACGAGGGACTAGGTCACGAGAATTTTTCACATCCAGAATTCGAACCTTTATTTATGGATGAAGTAGATGAAGAACAGATCGATTCGGCTAAAGAAATATGTGGACCAAATCCCTCTCAAGCCTGTATTTTTGACTTCCTCGCAACAGGAGATATTAGTATAGCTATGTCATCTGCCATGGAAGAAGCTAAGTCTATAAATGACATCGCAATCATCGGTACAAGTACCAAATCTTTTAATAAATGACGAAATAAAATATCCAATACGTTTTGATCGTGCTTATACTTGAGTAAATCTGCAAAATTATAAACTATGTTTTATATACCCCCCTAGAAAATGAAACGCCAAGAATATCGGGAAATACAACAATAAATGCTGAGATTGATAACGAGGTCACATTAAGATTTAACGCATCTGATGACAACAAAGAAAGACCTGTGTTCAAAATCTTAAAGCAGCCAGAAGGATTTAGATTCAATGCAACAACTGGAGAAGCAACATGGACACCGCTGAATACTAATATTTCGGAAATAAGGTATTTCGTCTAAATGTTTATGTACTATTTTGATATATTTATCGTCTTACAGCAAATGCACATGTAATGCTGATAATTCAAATTACAGCATGTGTATACATAATCTGAAAATATATTCTAGTGTCAGTGTAGTTGATGAAATGGGGGTCGAATCGCCATCTCTAGATGTTACGATCATAATGTGTAGTGGATGCAGTAACAATGGTCATTGTGACTATGAAAATGTCGAAGCAACAGAACATGCTCTAAATTATAAAGCTGGATGTATCTGCAACATAGGTTTTACTGGTAAGAGGTTTTGTGCTTTCTACATGTACATTAAGGCTGAAATTGTTTCTTGCATAGCGAAATGGTTATATATTGTTTATCTTGACATAATATACATTATATAGTTGAGTTATATTAAATTATACACACACACTACAAAACACACACACACTTGCATATAATTATGATTCTTTGCGTATTTTCAGGAGAGAATTGTGAACAAGACATTGATGCCTGTGTTCAAAGTCCATGTTCTCTAGATAGAAACTGTACCGACCTTACTCCCACTGAAGAGGTCATATTAGGTCGAGGATACAACTGTTCAGAGTGCCCACCTGGCTATATGGATGTTGGAACCAAATGCGCGGGTTTAAATGTTTTTTATTACAACAAAAAGCATTTCCTTAAACTTAAACTCATTCTCCTGTACTAGATAAAATGTAAACATAAATCACACGTGTTACTATATTTAGATGTTGATGAGTGTTCAGCTGAGTATACCACTACATGTAATGCTTCTACTGAGATATGTGAAAACACAGAAGGAAGCTATATCTGTCATTGTGTGAGTGGATATAGGAAAGTGAACAACATTTGTCGAGGCAAGTGCAAAAATTTAAAATTTTCATGTATCGTATGTAAAGTTTCAAACATACATGTAGTCCAAATCAGTCATTAAATGATATATATAGCGCCATAAAAAGATTAGTACTAGAGTACTGAATATAGTTTTTAATGTTTCTCTCTACTAAAAACTAATATACAGGATTTCATTCATGTGAATGAGTCTATCTTATGTATGAAGTAAATATCAGTTGAACGTAATTAATATTGAAAAAATATCCTTTTTAACATGAAATAGATAACAATAAAATTGATACATAATGATATGATTTTAAAAATTGGATAATTTTTATTAATTTTGTAGATATTGACGAGTGTTTCGAGGGTACCTCAGACTGTGTACAAATATGTCGGAATACACCTGGTTCATTTTATTGTGATTGCCACTTAGGATTTACCTTACATACAGACAGAACTTCGTGTGTTAAATCAGGTAAGATCAAAGGTATTTAACGTAAGTCTTGAGGGAAATTTGAGTTCGTTGTTTTAATTTTCACTCTATTATCAACAAAGAGGTCAGCGAATTTTAGAAACAAGCATCATTTGCTTTTGTGCCATTAAAACAATAATAAATAACAACTTAATCGTTAAAATGAATTCATGGTGTTTACTGTATATTGGTTTGCTACCTGTAGAACACAACCTCTGTGAAAATTTTGAGAACTGTGAATACTCCTGTGGAAATACAACTGGAACTTTAAAGTGTGTGTGTCCACTAGGATACGAATTGGCGTCAAACGACATAAACTGTAAAGGTGCACACCTTCATGTATTACTATTAATAAAACTTGTAAACCAAAAAATGAACAGATTAGACAATTATCTTATATTGGATGGTTTAAATGCTGTATTTTGATTTATGCATGATCCATGTTCCAAAAAATTAGGTTAGCTTTTTTGGGTTCTTAAAATGTTCATTTTAACCGAAGTACTAATTATTTTAATCTGGTAGTTTTCAAAATTGTTTTTTATGTTTATTTTTTTTTTTTTACAGAAGAGAACGTTCTTCTAGAAATTTGATATTATAGATAAATGCATCGTCTAATTCAAGGTCTTTATGCAGGTTTTAACGTCATTTTCAATCTCAAACATTCAACGATAATTTAATTAAAAAAAATCATGCATGACATTATTTGTGATTATTGAACAGGAATACGTTCAGCTTGCTTGGTGAAGAAATTGCATTCAAATTGCCATTCAAATTTTCGTAAAATTGTTGTCTGATTACCTAACTGGTATTGTGTGTCTTATATTTTTTACAATATAATGAACATTAAAAGCGTTAACATTGTAATAAGGATCGAAGCCCTAGCATAACTTTCATAATTATTTTTGTAATTTAACCTGACTTTGATATATTTTATATAATTTAGATATAAATGAATGCGAACTTGCAACTACGGTATGTGAACAAGATTGTATCAACACCAAAGGAGCATTTAATTGCACTTGTCGACCAGGATATTTCTTAAATGGAGATCAAACGTCATGTTCAGGTAGAACAACTCATAGATACACACAATCACACAAACCCGAGGGTTGTCCCAAAATTCCGTAGACTGAACTCATATCTATTGCAGAAATCAACGTATCTCTATATAATTGTGTGTGTATAGAAAGTGTGTATGTTTTAGCTGATAAATTACGAGTACATTGTATTTAACATGATTACTTGAAAAAACGTGCGTGCAAATAACTAGAATTTTAATGTTATGGTATCCTACTATCCTACCAACCGGCGCAATCTTCGACGTCAAAAATATGCAAACGTCACCGTTACGAATTTTTGTGGAAAATATACTAGTTATCGAAATCACATTTTCTATTTCATCAAAAAGATTTAAATTATAGATATGAAATATCATAATTGTTATGATATGCTAAACATCAAAATACGCAAAAAAAAGTTTAAAATAAACGCATCCGATCCATTAATAATTCATGAAAATCTCCAGTATCTCGGTCTGAGGGATTCTTTTTGTCCGACTTTCCGAATGGAGTTGTACTGTGTGGCTTTAACGACGATGTCTTTGTCTACTTTTTGATCTCGTTCTTGGCCTCTTTTTCAAAGAAACCTTGAAAAAATATTTTATCATTAAAATACTACAACCTTGAATATATTTATGAGTTCGGTGCAAATGCCGAACATTTTACATTTTATCATATTCCAGTGCGCCACCTTTGTCAATGCGACGTCATTTTTCTTAAGGTCAAGATCTAGTAAATGATTTTAGACTGCATTTTTGATGCTAGATCCATTATGACGTCATAATCAAATTAAGCTTTCTTTTTTCTCGTACTTTACGGCTGTAATAGAATTATGTATAAAATAAAGTATTTTCCTGGAATTCAATTTGAAATCATGTGAAAAAGTAATCCCGAAACCTATATTCAATTTAATATTATTTTAAAGAAGAGGCCAAGAACATACAAATTATCGTTTTCTGAGAGACTGTAGGCAATCTGGATACATTTAATTTGTCTGATATGGAAAAAAACTCCCATATTCATGACTGATTTTCCTAATTTTTCAATAAAAATGACAGTTTACTATATGATTTTTCGTCTTGTTTACCTACAAATTATGCCCCGAAACACCTTATTTGATCAAGCTATATTTATAAAGCTTTATTAAAGGGATTTATTTCTCAAATTTGAGAAATCTGTAGGCTCCTTTTATTTACTAGATCTTGACCTTAAATAGTCAATTAAGTGTCAAACCAGTGTAAATAAACGTTTACTTATAAAATTCTAATTAATGAAGGCATATGCGATAAAGTGGAATAAAAGTAGTTATTTATTTCATTTGTGAAAATATAATTTTATCCAACAAAATTTTGACTAGAGATTCCTTTTTAACGACATTTGAATTTCATATACCAATTTTTGATAGCAAAATGCGGTATTGATAGAAAATGGTGGTTTGTTTACATTCTGCATAGCAACGGCAAGGGGAATAACCGCTCATGCGCAGTCGCGTGATTCTGGAGACTGGCATACTAGAAACTTCGGATCCCAAATTTTGGGACTGCGCCTCCTGTTTATGTCTGACATTGAATTATTCATTCAAATAGGATAAACCTGTGTAGTTACGCAATGTTTTACGCCAAAAATATTAGTTGTTCGTAGTTTTATTTATATTTTAAGTTATTAATTTATGACACTGGATTACTACAAAACGCCTACGGAATTTTGGGATTATGATCATATATCGGACTTTTATATAATGTATACAGGACAAAAAATGGCCATTTTTACATAAGAAATATAAATAACATTCAAATAAACCATCGGTATTCCTTTGTTGCTTTAAAATCAATCGATATAATTATTTAATGTTTGTTACTGAAACAATTATAGCTTTGTATTTAATTCTGAAAAATTAATAACTATAGATATCCAAAATTGGACAACAATACATTTTGCATTTCAGTCATTTTTTATAATTTTTTTCTGATGACTAGATATGTCAATCTATGAATATTTCCAGAAAAGTTCAAAATTCTTTCCATTGAAAGATAGTCTTTGTGCAAAAAGGCTTATTACGGAAGATGTTGCGTTGTTAGACAGTTTGATATTTTACTATTGATAATTCTGGTTGTATTTTGTGTTCTTTAATGCTCAAAAATCAAGAACTGTACTCTTTATTGCAAATAACAGAGTGTGAAATTCCTAACTATGGTGAAAACTGCAGTAAACTGTGTGAATGTGGTTCTGGTGGAGACAGATGTGACCCAGTCAGTGGATGTGTCTGTCTGTCAGGTTGGACGGGTGTCAAATGTGACGAAGACATAGATGAGTGCTCAGTAGACCCATTCATATGTGGTTCTGATCGAGTATGTCAGAATCTTGAAGGTTCCTACTCATGCATCTGTCGGGATGGCTTTGATATAAAAGGAAGTAAATGTGAAGGTACTGTATGTTGAAAAATATGGAAAAACGGTTATTGTTCCTAAATTGAATTACTTGCCTAGAATATTTTGTTTTGAAATCTTGTAATTATTTTAGATATTGACGAGTGTGCTGATGAGAGCCTAAATGACTGCCCAGAATTAACAACATTTTGTTGTAATACAAATGGTAATTACACTTGCGAGTGTCAAAGTGGGTTTCAACTGATAAACGACGAATGTGAAGGTAAATACAAAAAGTACTTCATATGAAAGGAAAAGATAACGAAAAGTTATCATGCTCAAAAATCCAATTAAAAATGATACTAATTCTGCTTTCTCATCATTGAATTTTTTTCAATCTTTTTGGGGAATTTTTCAGATTTCAAGCAAGAATATTTTTTTTTACAATAGTCTATCAGCTAATTTACATGAGGCAAATGCTTTCAGATATAAATGAATGTGAGACCGGACGTCACGGCTGTTCCCAAATGTGCATCAATGTAGATGGTGATTATAATTGCGCATGTCATTCCGGATTCAACCTTCAAAATGATCGCAAAATGTGCGAAAAAGGTGGTATTTAGCTTTTTATTGTGCATCTATTGCAAAGCTTGTTGTTTTTTTTCATGGAAATCGTTACCCTTATACAATACAATTCATTTTTCTTTTCATGTATTTTCTCAATTGCTTATGCTTCTTAAAAATTACTGAACACTGAAACATTTATAAAGAATCAATAATACACTTATCATATTTGAAACAGGATATTTTTTTATTTTATGTTTTTTTAATCTCGTTCCTTATATTTCAGTTAAGGACACCTGCTCCCTATTTCCTGGACTTAACTGCAGTTATGGCTGCATTCAAAGTGCTCAGGACCCAGGGGAAATCATTTGTCTCTGTGAAAATGGCTTCCAACTGGCTAGTGACATGAAAACATGCATAGGTAGTAGAAACTGTTTTTCCGCATTTATTATTTCAATATTGCTTTTTATAAATTTTTTTATAAATATGTTTGGCAGTTTTTACTTGATTATTATGTTTTTTTAGACATTGATGAGTGCCAAAAGAATACAACTTGTGATCATAACTGTACAAATACGGCAGGATCTTTTGAGTGTGAATGTGCTATTGGATATGAGCTTCAAAATGATGGAATATCATGCAAAGGTAAATTCATGTATATAATGTGGACATTTGAGACATTAAAGGATGATTCCTTATTAATTACCACATCACAAGGTATTTGGTGGACGGGTATTCAATGGGTTGCATCACATTATACTTTTCACCTTTTTCTACATTCTAAAATATTAACAGCAGTGAAGGAGAAATTTCAGGAGTACTGTACAACAATATATTCGAGAAGTGGTGTAAATCAGATGTAGATACTTAAAAACTCCAAGGAATTTTAGAAAATTTGAAATCATAAAATTTTACCAAAATCAATAACATCAAAACTACGACTTTTCAAAACTCATAAACAGCTGCTTTTTTCAATAAGAATTGAACTTGTAAATTTACTGACATTGTCATTAGTCATTAGTAAAATTAGTTGGTTTAAAAAAAAAATGGGATTGTACATACAAGTACTCTGAAATTGATATTAAAAAGATGCTTGAGTTTCTGATTGATAATATCTATGTAGTTTTTGAAGATGAGGTTTTCCATCACTCTGTTGAAATTTCCATGGGTACCAATTGCGCTCCCTTATTATAGACCTATTTTTGTATTCATATGGAGCAGAATTTATTCTAAAACCTTGTACATAAGAAGACGAAAACACTTGCTGTGGCCTTCAACTCGACATTTAGATATATCGAGGACGTAATATCAATTATCAATAGCTAATTCCATTCATATGTCGACTCGATACAGTAACTGTAAAACAACTTTTATTCGCGTGCGAGAAATATTCGAGAGTTTTACGACCTTTTTTTACTCGCGGATTTCAATCGCCGCGAATCATTTATTTTGTTTTGTAATTGTAGAGAATGTTTTCTCAGTCGTGAAAATTAATCATCGCGGATTGATTTCAAACTGACGAATCGCGAATAAAAGTTGACGCGAATAATAGTTGGTTTACAGTATATCCCAGTGAACTTGAAATAAAACATACAACAAAGTCTGACACATCTTCATATCTGGATATTTTACTAGAAAAAGACGTCAATGCTAATCCTACAACAAAACTTTATGATAAATGTGATGACTTCAACTTTCCTATCGTCAACTTCCCTTCCATAAGTAGCAATATACCATTATCACCTGCATATGTGAATTCTGTCTCCCAGTTAATTCGATACACATCTACAAGAGCATGCTCTACGTACGAACAATTTCTAAAAACAAGGCAAGCTATTGTCAAAAAAGTTGATGAAACAAGAATATCAACAGTCTCGTTAAAAATCATTTTGCGAGTTCTGTGGTCGATACAATGACCTTGTCAGCCAATACAGTCTATCATTAAGGCAACTGGTAACTGATGTTTTTCATACAAATTGTTATGCCATTATTTACACACTGAATTGTCTACGAATTTTTCCGTTTTCCCAATCGTGACAAGGAGAACACTGCGGGTGCATGTGCCGATCGACAGGGGATGCATACTCCTCCATGGCATCTGATCCCACCTCTGGTGTTTTTAAAGGTCCGTGTTTGCTCTGCTCCAGATTTGTATTTTTTCAATGGACTTTTGAGTTTGATTATTGTTCGTTATCCCCACATTTGATCTATAAGCTTTAAATTTTTAACAAAGTGTGTTTATTTTGTTATGTTTCTGCGAAAAAAAATTCTTATGAATTTTCACAATCTTTCTGCGATTTTATTTCTTGTCAGATGAGTAACCTTCACTTTCATACTCTGAAGATAGCAGATGTGCCATTTATGACTTGTATTCTGCAGCATTATGTTTTGTTGTAAACTATATTATACATTCTTAACTTTGTTTATTAAGAAGGCATTAGGAAACAAATCGGATGAAAAATATACAGATAGGATCCATTAGAATGTATGTTTTATGTTCAAGTTTAAGAAGGCGTTTCTACATTACTGCAGATTCTTTAATACATGCTGCATTGTGTTTTTCCATGCAAGTCACAGTGTAAAGAATAGGGATTGCACAAAGTGATTGTAAAATCTTACAAATCATTGCATTTGAGTATTATTAAATAATTTTGCGGGTCTTTTTATCAATTTGAAGCATGACCTTTTTATGAAAAATGGAGGGGTTTTTTTTTTTCATTTAACAACACGTGAGAGTTATCAGTGTCTTTGTATTTGCTATTATAGATTCTGAAAGAAACGTTTGATACAAAATGTTGTTCCCGTCATTCAGCTAGCTTCTAAATCTTGCAATTGTATTCACATCTAGAATTTTCACTATGTGTTCTATAAGTGTACTTCATCTATCTGCGTCTACATCACCTGGGTTTTGATAAAGATGATAAAATTTGCCTTTCTTTCTTGATTCTTTATATTAGCGTGCAATGGGTATTTTTACGGTATGTATTGCAACACGCCATGTAAATGTGGACGGGGCGCCACTGCCTGTCATCACGTAACCGGTTGTGTCTGTCACCTAGGATGGACAGGAGAAACTTGTGAAATAGATATCGATGAATGTGAAAGGAGTCCATGCATTGGTGAACACGAGCTATGCCTCAACACCCCCGGGTCATACCGATGCGATTGTGTTACGGGTTTTAACAACTCGGAAGGAAGTTGTACAGGTAGAGGAGACATCCGTTAAAAGTTCATAAAGGGCATTAAATTTCACTTGGAACATTTCATGATACTGTCTTAAGTGCTTTTAGTCAAGCAGACACTTGACCTCAGTAAAATAATTACAAGAATTACACCTGTATGAGTATTTTTTTTCGCTATCAAGTATTTGACACGATGGTTTCTTACTTTTCATGTTCTTTAATTTTCATAGACATTGATGAATGTCAGAATCCAACATCATGCCATCAGATATGTATAAATACAGAGGGAAGTTACCAATGTGATTGTGACACTGGATTTAAATTAACAAATGAAAACTACTGCATTGATATCAATGAATGCATTGATACTCGATGCCATGATTGCAATAACTGGCCTGGAGGTTTTGAATGCTTCTGCGACCAGGGCTACAAAGTCAACACAGCTACTCATACTGATTGTCAAAGTATGTTCCTCATTGCTCCAAGTTGAAATTACAAAAATTATCGAACAATTACATGTTAGCAAGGCAAAAAAGTGCATGTTCGTTTGATTTACCCACTTCGTGTTTTTTTTTCTAAATGTATTAAGATAATATTAATATTTGTAGAATAAGTAGGTTGTTATGAACATTTCAACTTGATATTTTCTTTTCAGATATTAATGAGTGTGACGATGGAAGTAATCAATGTTCTTCTGATGCTATCTGCACAGATACGATTGGAAGTTATTTGTGTAAATGTCCCCGAGGATTTAAAGGAAACGGATTCATGTGCCAAGGTTGTTGGCAATTATGTATTGTTACGTACGCCTCCACATCCTCCTTTATACCTTACAAAATTTATCTTATCGCGTCTTCATTTTTAAAAATATTGTTTTTTCAGCTTGTGAGAACTTTACGTTTGGTGAACAGTGCTCCCAAGTATGCACATGTGTAACCAACCAAACAGAGTACTGCAATGCATCTTCTGGTTTCTGCCAGTGTATCTCGGGATGGGAAGGGAGTGATTGTTCAAAGGATGTGGATGAATGCCAGAAGAATATTACTCAGTGTGACAAAAAGTTACAGCAAGCATGTATCAATACTCCTGGCTCCGCACACTGTGAATGCCGTTTTGGAGGATCGAGACTTGATAATTGTGTGTGTGAGTAAATTTTATATTTTTATGAAGTAGTAGTTAGTTATATTGAAATCAAACTTGTCTATGCAATTCAATCATAGCTCCGACCGTGGAGTCGGAAGTGTTTTAATTGTTATACTCGGAAACTTTCCGCGAAAATCTTGAACAAACTAACATCATTATTTCTAATATTTTAAATTGCAGATCCAGAATCATCATACAGTACAAGTGAGATTAAAATCTTCAGCACAATCTTCTTCAAGTTTCCGAATATAAGCTTTCAAATTATTTTTATAAACAAAAAAAAAAAGGATATATGAATGCCAGTCATCATTTGAATTAAAAACAATCGTGAAGAGAGTTAAAGTTAATTAGATGGTTTGAGTGCTTTTTTCTGTCTATTCTCATTGATAATAGCTAAGGCTTTCAATAAACGGTTTGATTATAGATGAAACAGAAATGAAAGTAAGAGTTGAAGTAGAGTTTGCCACCAATACTAGCCGTCAGGAATTTCTTCTAAAAAGCCAAGAACTACGAAAGGAATTTCAAATATCTGTATGTACAGACAAATTTATGACCTGTTTGGATACAGTTGCAAATCATTATTTTTTTATATTTAGTATTTTACCTGCAAAGTATTTGACCTGCAAAGTAAAGCTTTTATTATTTTCTTTCTCAAAAGTGTCTTTTTCAACTATTTACTAACTTACGTCGCAAAAATGTCTAAATAAGAGGTCTTAATCTTCCTTTTAATCAAAGGAACAAATAGATTATCAAATTTTGAAAATAGGACAAGATCGTAAAAAGAAAACAATCAGAACAACTCTGCATTCGATACATCCTTATGATTTTTTATAAGGAATAAATGAAAGATTGTTAAAACTTTGATTTTTACAGTTAAATTAAGTTTTGGAAACCCATCAAAAATTCTTTTTCTTTAATCTTGGCAAGACAAAGCTAACCTAAATGTGTGTTTTCTATTGATTGTTACGTGTATTTCAGTATTTCAATGTGAATTTAATCATGAATTAAAGACTGTTTTCTTTATCTTTCATAATATGCATTATTGTACTATTAAAATTTTATTTTCAAAAATCCAGCTGGAAAGTTATTACAAGAAAGAAAACGTTAGCGGATTTCTTCTTCTGAAAGTCCTATCTATTCGGTATGTGCATTTTATGGGAATATACTAATGGCAAGAAGTAACTGTACCAATAAATTTACGATAATTTTGTTACGTGCACATTATTATTTGATTTCACAATACGTTAAAACTTCATTTCTGAAAAATAATTGTTTTAATTGCATTAATTGATGTGATGACATAAAAAAAGAAAGAGGTGTCTTTATAACATACACAAAGCCAACAATGAGTAGATCCGCCCTTAGCTTGAATGTATTATTTAGAATACCTTTCTGATTTAATAAATCTGTGGATTTTTTTTTTAAATTTTTGTGATACAGTCTGATCTAGTTCTGTCAATATATGTCCACCTTACATTTGTTCGGTTATGATGACAATTCCATTGGTAGCTATGGATTTGGTCTACTATGTAGAAAGTGTCGCCGTTGGATTTCATCGATTATGTAGACAATTGTACTATAGTATACTTGGTTTTTAGACAACGCCAGCAATGGTATTAGTCGATTATACGAGGGGTTATCAAAAAGTTCGTGGACTAGCGCCATAAAATTAAAACCGCTTTAGGTACATCAATGAATTTTTACACATTTAGTTAGCATCATCTTTTCTATCTATAGGATAAACCATAAATCATAAGTTTTATTTTTTAATAAATTGTTAATGTTTTTGTAAGCAATTGTATGTCCAGGCGGCGCAACCTCAAATATGACGTTTTTTTCTACTTGAGTGTAACTGAAAAAAAAACTCTTTTAATACGAGCATTTGTCCTCAAAAAATCCCGTTAATTCAGATATTTGGTACGACGCAATTGTTCCGTAAAATTTGCAATTTTTACCCCATTCTGTAAGTTCTATGAAATTTTATCGTAAGTTTTATATGGAGTGTCCAAACAATTAAGGGCTTGAAAATGACGTCAAAAAGGGGGAGGGGTTTCTTTTTCCTACATTCTACATTGTTTCGCACCTGGAAAAACTGGTATAGACCTAGGGAATGTTTAAACAGGCTACAGAAAAATAAAATGCATCCAAAGTACTCGTTTTAAATACCCAAAAAGATTCAGAGAGATGAAAGATGCACAGTTAATGTCGATTTGTAGTTATTGTGTCAAAAGTCAGTCACGTCGAAAAGTGACGTTGATCATGTGTGGTAGAAAATGAACTCCAACAAGCGAAGTATTCTGGCATAATCAAGTTCGGATCTTTCCCTATGTATAGATCCATTTACTATATTATATGCATTGAAAGCAGCTGTTCATGACATTGTAAAGTCATATAAACAAGACGGGATTAAGTGTTACTTATTACTCCAGGTAATTTCATCAAGATAAGTGTATGAAGTAGATAGAGCGGTCATTGAGAAACAATGACGTTGTCGGACGTCATGAAACAAAACGGCGACAGCGCCGGGTGATCATATAATGTCTTTTTTATTTTAGAATAATTTGGCAAATTATCAATATATCGAGCTAAAATTTTCAACATTTCTTAAACTTTTGTTGATTTATGTTCCCTATAAATTTTGTAAGCACAGACTACATAGTATTAATTTTATCGAATCAGTCCACGAACTTTTTGATAACCCCTCGTATATATTTCACGTCAGCAGTTGAATTGGCCAGTATGTAGACAATTAACGTTCAATTTAATCTCAAGTAGTAGGAGTACATAAAATAAATTTTCTGATATCAAAACACAGAATTAATCAAATAAGTCATTTGTCAAATGAGGAGTTTCAAAACAGTAATTATTATTCTGCTTCAAAAGTTACCAGTTAAAAATACATGTACGCAAGACATCGCAATATGCTATTAAGTTGTAGAAACTCTCGTACAAATTCATCGGGTATCATTCAATTAACTTTGGTAAAAATGAGTAAATACACTGTAGTTGTTTTAGCGAATTTCAGTAATTCATGTGTACAGTTTTTCTCAGGTTATCTAAAAATCTTTAATCGATAGATACTTTTTCCAATTGTATATGATTAACAGCATGCGATAAAAAATACATTTTAGTAAAATATGTTTGAAAGATAAGTATTTCCTACAGTCTTAAAATATTCGATGATAAGAAGTACATGTAGGTAAGCCTATAAGCCTATATCAACTACATGTACACCATAAACTTTTTTTGACTTACAGATTTGGGAGTTTGATTGTTGACTATGAAATTATTGGTAATAAGAGCGAATCAGACAGCTTTGAAAGCGACCTTGCATCTAGCATGACAAAATTGCTAAATGGAGACAGAACGCTTGTTGTACTGAACCAAACACCAGCTATCATGCAAATCATGATTAAAGATCAAAACGGCACATCAATGAAATGTAAGCACACTTTTTTTGTTCTTTTAGATGACATGATACAGATATAAGAGATAAGCTTTGCAAGTTATGCAGACCTGGTGAATTTATAAAACAGTATTTACATCCTTCACTATGTTTTATAATTCACTCATCTTTTCTGATCACTCAACACGCATGTGCCTACCAAATTTAATTAGTTTTTAAAACGGTTATATTATTTTGTTATCGTTTTTCTTTATAGACATCTCGTCTGTAGCCAAACCCTGTTTCGTGTTTGAAAGTTTTGGTGGCACCTGTGTATTGGGAGAAAAATGTGACGACTCTTCTGGAGAAGCGACCTGTGTGTACGTATATTACGTTATATTAAATTAATTGAATTATTTCTAACATTAGCATATTGCATCCCATCTTACATACAATATTTGAAACTTTAACGAAGGCGGTATTCTTTTTCAGGAAAAATTCATCGAATGAAAGTAAGTCAGTTTAAGTAGTGCCACTATAGTTTTCTTGATTTATCTTGAGTATATGTCTTTCAGAAAGATTTGTTTGTGTACTTAATCGCATGAATTACTTAAAAAACTGAAGTAACACCATTTTAGATAACACTATATAACTCTCATTTCCAGATCAATGTTTTCCCTTTTAGACTGTGGTTGAGAAATAAGACAATAAAAAATATAATTTATTTTACTTTAATTTATATCCTTTGATATCTGAATAAATAAAGTATTATAATCACAATTTTATTTTATTTGTATAAATTTAGACCTACCAATTTTACTAATCGTTATTGGAGCAAGCTGTGGATCCCTATGTATGATAATACTTGCATCATGTGTCTGCTGGAGATACCAAAAGAAGTATGCCGATCAAACAAAAGTGTAAGTTTTTAGTATAAGAAATAAATTGTAGAATTAAATTGAACAAACCATGTTTTCAGATTTTTTGAAATTTTATCTTGTAAGATGAAATATATGGGGATAACGAACAGTATTCAAGCTCAAAAGTTCATTAAACAGTACAAAATAGGAGCAGAGCAAACACGGACCTCTAAAACATCAGGGGTGGGATCAGGTGCCATGGAGGATTGAGCATCCCCTGCCAACGGGTCACACCCGCCGTGTGCTCCTTGTCATGATTGGGTAATAACGGAAAAATCCGTCGACATTTCAGTGTGTAAATAATGGCCTAACAACTAGTATGAAAAACGTCAGTCAGCATTTGACTTAATGATACAGTCATGTAAATTGTATTTGCTGACAAGGTCATTGTATCGACCATAGAACTTACGAAATGATGACTTTAATCGAGACATCTGATTTACAGAAATTCATATGTAAATAGAATTCAAAACAGAATGCATGCCACTTCCTGGTCTTTCTGAGAGTGTCATATACTCGTCGGAAATATGTAACATTTGGATGTACGAAAAAAGTTTTCTTTACAAAATGTTCTTTACAACATGCTTGTACATGTACATTGCATATGCTATTACATTTTCCCGACAAAGTCATTTTTTAAAATAAGTCAAGCATATTCTTTATCTGAAATTATTTTGTCAAAAATATGCAGTTTTATACAATATCGATCATTTAGAAGAGCATTTTACTATAAAATTGGTTTAATATTTTTTACACACTCCTGCCTAAACTGTTTTAAAATTAAAAGTGGTGGCGTTCATTCCTTTTGGTTAGCTTTAGAGAGGCCAGAATAAAGAAAATGTTCAGCGTTTTTGTTTGTTCATTTCCAACAAAGTGTGAATAATATATATAACAGTTCTATCATACCCCCACTTGAAAAGTGTGAAGGGATGCCCGTACTTCCGTACGTCTTTAACACTATGATACGCATCTCTTATCCGCAAACCCCTCCTATACCACTGAATAAAATATAATGAGACTTTCACAGAATCTTGATTACATATTTCCATTGTATACCCCCTATTTTACGTTTCGATCTGACAGATATATGTATCTGGGGTTTTCCATATAAAACATGGACACTATCAGTCTTTCTATAACATTTGGGGGTACACCTCTTATCCGAAACTCCTTATATATGACTGAAAAAAAAATAATGCGACTTTTACAGAATCTTTATTACAAAGTGCCATTACACACGTCCTGTTTGATGTTCTGAATCTATTGATATTTTGGGTTTCCCATAGCAGAACATGGCCACTGCCATTCTTTCTATAACACTGGGGTACCAGTCTTTTAGTACATGTAGCAACTCCTCCTTATATATACCACTAAAGATAATTTAATGAGACATTTACAGATCTATGCTTTATTACGTAATGTCATTGTTCACTCTTACTTTTTGTTTCAATTCGACTAATATTTTGGGTTATTCATAGCAAAATCTGGACACTACCATTCTTTCTATTACATATACATAGGATACCCGTCTCTTATTTTAATCTAATGCGACTTTTACAGAATCTTCACAACATAATGTCATTGTGCACTTCCTTATCATATTCTGATCGGACAGATATTTGAGGTTTCCAGTAGCAAGATATAGACTTTGCCCTTATACTCATATGAGAGCGGGTGTATCATTTTGTGAGCTCAGTGTTCACGGTACCTTCTATTCTGGTTAACCATTTTACTAGCATGTCAGAAGAAAAAGAAGAAAAGACTGGATTCTTTTAACGCTGAGAATGAGATTCTACAGTAATCTGTGATTTGTACTTCAGATTTGACATCTCGGAAACAAACGTAAAAGTCAAGGAGCCATCTAACTTGACGAGCGAAAAGAAATATAAACCTGTGGAAAGAAACGTCGTTAAATGTAAGTGAAATTATTTTGTATGAAAATGAAAAATTCGTTAAAAATGTTATTTAATTTTCATTTTTAGACATTAAATAGCGACATAAATATACATGTGCAGATATATTTTAAAGTTTGCTTGATAGTAAATGTTTCATTTTTAAGGTAACAATTTCACATTATCATTTCTGTGTGTGTTCATATTATTAGCTCTAATGTTCTAATATTAGAGGAGATTATGTAATGGTAAGGTCTTTGCCTGTTTGTTTGTAAAAGAAAATTCAAAGTGCTACTCCTCTTATAGTTTTGGTCCAATTTTAATAAAACTTAGAACATAAGAATACTATAATCTGAAAGGACTAAAAGCGCTGAGCATAAGGAGGCTGAGGGTCAAAAAATTAACCATCAGATATAACTTATTTTTTTAGATATGATATCTTAAGCTGTCAACTATCATTTGGCAAAGAAAAAATTCATACATTTTAGTTTTAAAATTTCATTTTTGTATATCTTTATATGGAGCTCTTCTTCTAAAGGAGATCAATATAGTCTAAAAATGGCCACGACCACCCAGCCCTCTTAATTGGTATTCTCTGATAGGCAGGATGATATCTTTCTTTGGTTTAGAATTCAATATTTGAGGCTGTAATATTACTCCAAATAAGGAATTAATGGATTCGTCTTTGATCAATATATTACAATATTGAATTTGAATTTTTCAAAATACAATGTATTATCCTTGCTAAAGAACATGGGCGTACAAAGCAAGGGAAATTTATATAGGCTCAAGTATATAGAAATCATATTCATTTAATGAAATAAGTTTTTAGAACAATGTTCATAGTATTAAAAGGCATGAAATTATGACAAGCACTTTTTCCACTAAAAATTATCTCTTCAAATTTTATTATATGGCTTAAAAAATGCAGTTTTGTTTGGGTCTTGAACCCAAGATAAAATCCTAAATTTTTCTCTTTTTTTCCTAAAGATTAACACGTTCACCACTAGACCAATCAACTAATAACAAGTAGCGGATATTTAGTTTTGTTTGTGATGAGAAATAAGCATAACTTGACCTTAAAAATATTTCTTAAAAGATGAGATTTAAAGATACCGAACAGCAATAATGCTCAAAAGTCCAATTAAACAATACAAACAGTGAAAGGAACAAATACGGACCTCTGAAAAAAAGAGGCGGGATCAGGTGCCATGGAGGAGTTAACCTACCCTGTCGATCGGTAATACTCGACATGTGCTCCTTATCATTACTGATGGGTAAACGTTAAAATCCGTAGATAATTCAGTGTAAAAATAATGGCCTAACAATTTGTATGTAAGACTAAGTCAATATTAGGCCTAACGATAGATTGTATTTACAAACAAGGTCATTGTATCGACCATAGAATTAGAGAAATATTAACTGTAAACGAGATTGTTGACTCAAATAATCTTATATCATCAACTAATAGTTTGTCGCTAGCCTGTATTTTGTTTTTAATTGTTTGTAAATGGTCTCTTGTGTATCGTATCAACTGGGAGACGTAAACCCTAGATGCATTAGATAATAATTTATAGCTATATGAATAAAGGATATTGTTGAAATATTAAAGTCATTACGTTCATCATAAACTTAAGTTGTTAGTAGTGTCATCAAAAATGGAGCGCAGATCAACTCTTAAAGGAAAATTATGTTAACTCTAACCAAAAAAAATATTATAGTAAACTAAGGTTAATTATAACTATAACTAAAAGTTAACTACACCTGTAGTAAATCAAAGTTTTACAATAGTAAATTAAAAGATTATTTACTATGAATTTCAAGTTGTTATATTTTATTTTCTATAATTCTTCAATGGGACTTTTTGATTAAGATTATTTTTGTCGCTTATTCGCACATCATCCTTTACTATGGTGAACCAGATTTTTATTACGTGTATTTGATTTTAATAATTTTTTTACAAGATTAGAAAACAACAAGATATATGATTACTGTAAAAACTTCTAATCCGAAACCTGTGCAATCCGTTTCACTGTGAATTCTGACCTTTTTTATTACCAATTTACTATTTTCTATGTTCTTTACACTTTGCAATCCGACACAAAATTTGTCTCCCAGTGCATGTCGGATTAGACAGGTTTCACTATATAAATAAATGTTAAGCTAAAGAGGCGTTTCTAGTCAAAGTGCTACCTCTCCTTTTATAAGTACAAACAAACAGAACTACATATTCATCAGAGACCTTTAAAAAGTTATCATTCTTTTGATTTACAGAAATAACCAATTCATCTGTTAATAAAAAGGACTTCTTTTTTATAACAAAAATGTCTGCATTCTTGTTATCATTGTAGCGGCATGGAAACTGATAGATTTGGAATCAATCTGAAGGAAAAGTACTGCAGAAAAGACAAAAGATAATACAAGTATCAAACAATACCCATTTAGCATATCAAAGCAGATTTATTGTATTTATTTATTTTTTTATTGTGTATTATTCATTTTATTAACGTTCCACTATTTAAGTTGTTTAGTAGATAATTAATGGTTGTAGTGATGTGTGTTGAAATTAAATACTTATAATTGTGTTGATCTTTTCAATTAGATGTTTTAAGGTGTTAAGATGTTTTAATCGTTTAAAATTCTTATGTCCTGTTAGAATATTATCAATGCTTTAATTAGAATGTTTTAATTAGTACTCTGCAGTGGTGTTCTTGAACATGCTTTAAATATAATCTAATATTTATAATTTAGCTGGTAATAACATTAGAATGTAAAATATAAATTGAATATTATTGTTTACAAAGTAACTCAACATTGCTCAAAGCAACTGAAAACGGTGATGAAATATTTTTTGCACATTAAACTTGAGAATTAAAGGGTTTTACGGTTGTATATTCTTGCTAATTTTATTCATTAAATCAGGATGAAGACAAATTACGGGTCTTTACGGAGTAAAACACCACGTAGCCTGATGTGCAATCATGAAAAACTTATTTGAATCTTTAAAGACCCAAAGACTTCAAGCAATCACACTCAAGCAGAGTAAATTATGATTTGTTACTGGCGGTGAAAGGTCCTATTTTTTCTTAGAGATACATGTATACCACCATCTTCTAGAACATTAAGATCATAGATTATCAAGGCAAGCATAAAGACATATTCACAGACAACATATTGCAAGGTAACTACACATAAGATGGCGCTTTTGCATTTTACTTTGTGTAACTTTTAAAAAAAAAAGTATCATTTAAAGCTCGGAAACCTATCATCAAGTTAATATTGAAAACTGTCCCGATGAACATCAATTCTAGTACGTACGTAACATATCTAGTTATTAATGGGTGCCTACTAAGGATCTTTTATAGGAAGCTCTTTAGAAAACTAAATATTCGGGGGAATGACATCAGCGAGAATACAAACTTTCAACATTGTTATATTGTCCGATATACATCATATTATGTGTTAATGGCCATTCTTTTTAAGCAAATATATTTCAAATATTTATTTACTACCACGGTAGCTAAGTTGGTAGAGCACTCGCTCTGTGATCGGAAGGTCGTGTGTTCGAATCACGGCCGCGACTGGTATAAGTCGATAAAAAGCGTAGTCTATTCTGTATGAATATGATCAGTTATGATGTCAAGGATTAGATATGTAACCCCCGTGACACAAAATTTCGCTTTTTATACCACCTAAAATGACAAGATTTAGTTTATATTATATTTTTTTATGTCTCCATTCATGTTTAGAACCTGAAGTAAATCTTTAAATGAATATTTGAAAATAGTTATCTCAACCGTTCAGGTCATATAGCTTACTATGAGGCCATTGTACAGGCAAGTATAATATCTGGGTGTAGTCTTAACACACCTGCGTAGCAAGGGAATTCTTCTTTTCATGTAAAAGCTTTTTAATAAATTCTTCAGAAGAAGAATACAATAAAGGTCTACTTACAAGAGACACATTTATTACCCATGTAGATTCCAATAGATTGTTGGAAACCCTTCTAAGAGCTACATAGATATTGTCTATAAGAAACTGAATCATGTTTTTAATAGAAACGTCAGAGTTCTTGTGTGTAGAATCCGAGTGTTTTTAAATAAAGTAAAAAGTTTTGGAATCCAATATAGGTATGCTAATTTCAAATTAATTTGCATGTAGTAGGAATGAAAATATTAAAAAACTGATATTATTTCAATATTATAATAAGAAATACAAATCCCCTGTTGAACCATTGTGCAAGGTATGTTTAGATTATGACTTCTTTTTTAATGTCGATTTACACCGCCATATTCACTATTCGGGAAAAAAGAACTCTATTTAATATCGTTTGTCTCAATGACTTGCATTATTTTTTTTTAGGCTAAATAAACATATTTCTGCTGAAATTAACTGATAAAGATTTTAAAAGCAATAGTGTGAGGGCTACAGGGATTGTTTTCGATGCTATCTTTTAGAATGTATGATTAATGGTTCTTTCGAACATGTACATTGAATGGCATTGTACCTTTTTCGACCAGTCAGATCAGAGAGGGGATTCACAATGTCAAGTTGAAAAGCTATCCCAAAAACAAAAAAAAATCAATTATACCATAAGTTATCTGAGCCCCATTTCGGGAATATGAGACTTAAAATTCCATTTTTGATATCTCATCAATTATAAAAATTAAATTGCCATACTGGAGAGAGGAGCTTTTCACACAATCTCAAAAGGATGTAACCGTTCTAAACGCATGGTATAAGAAATGGCAATAATATTGGATTTGTTTTCAATTATGTCTGTGGTACTTTAATATTGCCTTAACAATAAATTTGGTAGTAAAACACACAATTGTTTTATTGTTTCATCCTTCCATACAAGGCAGGGTGAGTTAATCATGCATCGGATACATACCCATACGAAAATGGCTAGTGACCGTCAACAAGTCGTCAACTGAATATGCGAAAACAGTTGACCACTAGGAGTTGAATGCTTTTCTGAAAAGCGGTCAACTGTTTTGCATAAAATGGTCAGTTGACCGTCAATTGACTGCTTTTCACTGAGTTGACCATTAGTTGAATGCTAATACTTTGACAATTTCAAGCAAGAAAAGAGTTGACCATTGCTGGACACTCCGACACTGTGAAGTCTTGCAGAGTTGACTATAGTTGACCACTCAGTGTTAGAAAATCCATCTGACTCTATTTAAATTGTGTTTGGAATGACATTATTATAGATCGGGTTTGTAATTCCTTAATGTTTTATAACAATCTAGATTTGAATTAAATAACGTGTGTCAGTGTGTGTTTCGTTAGAAAGTGGAGAATTTTGAATTGAAACAATTCTTTTCATGAATGACTCAGTTTGTGCAATCCATGTAAGTATAAAATTTAAAAGATTTGTTTCTTTATATTTTTTCTAAAGACATTAGAAAGACAGAATACAGTTATGCTGAAGCTAATATAAGTCCCTACTATTGTGTACGGGTACTTGTTAAAATATTAATAGCATTTCTCTGTAACCACTTAAACTTCTTTGTCACCCATGGTCACTGATTTTGATGAAAATTTGCCCATTATTACAACTTGACACCAGAAACATATATCAAATAAAATTTCGTTGCTACGTGTCTTGGTTGCCATGGTAACAGCCAGAAAAGTTGGAAAAATTGAGATTTTCAGCTACTTTGAATCTTTATTGAGCCTTAATAAAGACTAAGAAAAACAAACAAACCATTCTCACAAAAACGTGACACCCTGTTGCCACTTATGCTATAAAGAAACTATTTACAATTTATCTCTAAGTAAGTGGTAATCATGGGTACATTTGGAATACATTTTAGATGCTGAAAAATGCTGAAAAAAAACGCTCAATATTCACTAATGATAGGTGTTACGTGATCAAACTCAATCAACAACTTAAGAAAAAAAAATAAAACTATTTGACCTTAAGTAATTAAGTTTTGGCAATATTATTCTAAAAATAACTTGTATGGTTGCCATGGTAACACAGTGTAACCATGCAAAATCTGTTGCTAAGATTGGGTTAATGCTACTATCTTGAGGAAAAAACTATAAAATTCATGACTGGCCCATATACATCCTTAGGACCTTGCAACACCGACAACATAAGAAAAATTGGGATTAATTGTTACGTTGCAGTGTAACCATGGAAACAACGTATCAGTTGTTTAAAGTGATATTTTTTGCTGCTTTAGGAATTTACTTACCTTTTAATCAAGAAACATATTATTTGACTCACCTTGAATAGTACTTATCTGGTAGAACTAAAGTTGAATATCATATATTGATAAAGTTTGTTGAAAAATACAACACTGTTGCTATGGTTACCAACAATGGAAAATGTTTGATTTTGTTAATTTTATATCAATATTAAACCCTATGTGCCAGCTTTTTGCATCCAGTTAGAAATTGGGTGGTGGTCAAAATTGAAAGTCAGGTTAGTTGTTCATAAAAATCAATCATAAAAGTTTTGGGAATCTACATACTAGGGTACATATCCAAGGAAACAGAATATTTTTCAGATTTTTATGCATATGTTTTCGGGTAATTTCAATAGCAACGCTATATTTAAAGAATTGAATTTGATTTTTTTGAAATGTGAAAATTAGGGTCACACCAATGTTTTTAAAAATTGATCATCAGTTATATAGAAATAGGCTTTTTAAAAAGATAGGATAAGATTAAAACACTAAGAGAGTAAAATCAAATCCCTCCGTGGTATTAAAACCATGGCAACCATTGCCATCTATAAGAAATATCATATTTCATCCTTGGTATATGTTACAAGGATCTTTTATCTATAATTTGCTTGCATTTCAACCTATAATTGTTTTTAATCTTAAGTGTATGACTTTATAAAATTAAATGAACAAATTTATTACTTTTGAATACTTTATTTCCATTTAACGTATGTAATAGTTGAATTACCAAACACGTTTATCATGCATTTAAGACATCAGGCCTTCAACTTTCAGAAACAGTCATTGCTACTTGTTTGCTTTGCTGCAAACGTTAACTGCGGGACTCTGAACATGTTGAAAAATGCCATTTTTCAAACTTTAGGACATGTTGCTATGGTAACCATGACACATAGCAACCAATTTTTGCCCGATTTGAGTTTACAGTATTAAAGACTTTATCATAGAGAGTTTGGAGGAATTCTGAGACTGTGCGTGCCACAGCTCCTATAGACAAGTTCAAGTCATTACAGAGAATGGCTCTTAAATATTAAAACTTGTATGCATCAGGTGTTTTGTTGTTTTTCTTGTTGCGTTATTGGTAAAAATATACCATTGTTTAGACTAAATCTACTTTTTCTGTACAGAAAATAAAGAAGGCAGCTTGTGAGAGTGTGCCACCTCAATTAATTTTTATGCATTATTTTTTATACATACATATATAATATAGATGTATATCATTTTAGTAGCATCATT